GAGATCCTGTTACAGAGTAGTTCATCCTGCAAACATGCCATAATAATCTCTCAATCGATGTCCTGGAAGCCCTGGGGGTCATACCATCCAAAACTTGAAAATATTTGAAAATGCGCGGTGAACAAGCTGAACATTTTCTTAAAAGAAAGAAAGCTGAGAGAAGCCGACCGACGACATCTACAATCGCTGGGAACGCGACTCTCGATCCGAGGTTTCAAAAGGAGTATTCTTTCGAAGATGATGAAGCTCCAGCCATCTTGAAATACCTCCTCGCCAATGACAAAATCGAGCTACCACCTATTAAAGATCAGGAGGGAGCTAAAAGGATTACGGATCCAAACTACTGTGCATACCACAGAAGGGTTCTTCATCCCACTAAGGTTTGTTTTGGACTCAAAAACAAAATCCAAGCCTTAATTGACTCCGGCGTCATAACGGCGAAACAAGCCAAATAAAAATGACCCCATACTCCATTGGATTCACGAGTATAAACTGTTTTCCCCTAACTCCGAAGAGTATACGAGTATAAACTGCTTCTTCATGTCACTCCGAAGAGTATACGAGTATAAATTGCTTCTCAACACTCCAAAGAGTATACGAGTATAAACTGCTCCTCGATACTCCAATAGGTATATGAGTCTAAACTGTTTACCACTCTTGACGGGAAATTCCTGGAGAATTTTTACATTCTTAAGGATAACCCGGTCATGTAACTCAGTATGATGTTAGACCCAGTTTCGTAAAGAAAGCTGGGGGTTGATGGTTCGTGTAACGGAAGTTCCCAAAAGAATGTTATATATAATTTTCTTAGGGATAACTCAATCATTACAAACAAAGTGATAAACACTACATCCCCACAGTGATTTCCGAATACTCTTTTGTTGAGATGAGATTCGATGACTTCTTTAGATCAATCTTCCCTCACAAAACTCACATTTGGTCAAACCTTTAAACAGTTAGGACCAAAGCCAAAACCCCCTCTCGATTCCTTCCATGAACAAGAGGTCCACAAATTGAACGATCAAACCTTTAAACAGTTAGGATCGTCTCGAATTCCCATTTGGTCAAACCTTTAAACAGTTAGGACCAAAGCCAAAATCCCCTATCGATTCCTTCCATGAACGAGAGGTCCACAAATTGAACGATCAAACCTTTAAACAGTTAGGATCGTCTCAAAACTCCTATTTGGTCAAACCTTTAAACAGTTAGGACCAAAGCCAAAACCCCCTCTCGATTCCTTCCATGAACGAGAGGTCCACAAATTGAACGATCAAACCTTTAAACAGTTAGGATCGTCTCGAATTCCCATTTGGTCAAACCTTTAAACAGTTAGGACCAAAGCCAAAATCCCCTCTTAATTCCTTCCATGAACAAGAGGTCCACAAATTGAACGATCAAACATTTAAACAGTTAGGATCGTCTCAAGTCCCCATGTGGTCAAACCTTTAAACAGTTAGGACCAAAGCCAAAACCCCCTCTCGATTCCTTCTATGAACGAGAGGTCCACAAATTGAACGATCAAACCTTTAAACAGTTAGGATCGTCTCGAATTCCCATTTGGTCAAACCTTTAAACAGTTAGGACCAAAGCCAAAATCCCCTCTCGATTCGTTCCATGAACGAGAGGTCCACAAATTGAACGATCAAACCTTTAAACAGTTAGGATCGTCTCAAATTCCCATCTTGGTCAAACCTTTAAACAGTTAGGACCAAAGCCAAAATCCCCTCTCGATTCGTTCCATGAACGAGAGGTCCACAAATTGAACGATCAAACCTTTAAACAGTTAGGATCGTCTCAAAACTCCAACTTGGTCAAACCTTACTACAGTTAGGACCAAAACCAAAATCCCCTTTCGATTCCTTCCACGAACGAGAGGTCCAGTATTCAAACCCGTCCAGATTCTCTAAGTGAAGATCCCACTTTGAGTTTCCTTTGGACCAGGAGATAGAATATAAAATTCTTCCTCTCCGATTCCGGGTTCATCTCTACCAACAAACAAGAGACTAGGAGATAGAATATAAAATTCTTCCTCTCCAATTCCGGGTTCATCTCTACCAACAAACAAGAGACCAGGAGATAGAATATAAAATTCTTCCTCTCCATCATCGGGTTCACCTCTACCAACAAAAAAGAGACTAAAATACTCCAATGGGTACACGAGTCTAAACTGTTTTCCTACATTCGATGGGAAGTTTCTGGAGAATATTACTTTTGATATTCTTAAGGATAACCTGACGAACTCTCGAGAGACAAACAAACATCAATCTGGAAATACCAGCTTCCATTCAAGATCTCAACAACGGTCGAGCGATAAACACAGTGCCGGAGAAGTATTAGCTATTCTACAAAGAACTAAATAGACTAATGGATGAAGAGATCAAGAGCCGAAGCTATTTTTCAGATTCTTCAACACGATCTACTCAACCAAGCATTGAAAGGATCGTAAGTAAAATCTATCTTATCCAAAGTATCCCAGACTCTTCTATAAAAAAATGCTAATAGATATCCAAACATAGAGAAGATCATCAAAAATCACCTCATACTGTCTTAAGAGAAAAATCAAGACAGATATGAACTGTCTCGCCAGCGAGACAGTGTTTACTGTCTCGCCAGCGAGACAGTGTTTGCTGTCTCGCAGCGACAGCGAGACAGTGTTTGCTATCTCGCCAGCGAGACAGTGTTTGCTGTCTCGCCAGCGAGACAGTGTCGAGACGACCAAAACCACTTAAATAACTCCCACCCACGTGTCCATTAATCTCGCAGAGCGAGACAGTTCTCGAAGGCTCAGAAACTGTTTTATAAACCGCCGACACGTGGCCATTAACTGCCAAAGAACATGGAAAACGTTGTGGGCGAGAATCACGTTAACAACTGCCAAAATAACAAAGTTTTAAAACGTGGAAAGACAGTTACAACAAAAACTGCCAGACAGTTACTATTTCCGAGATAGTATTTACTGTCTCACGGGCCGAGACAGTCTTTACTGTCTCGGAACCCGAGACAGTCTTTGCTGTCTCGGCCGCCAAGACAGGAAACACTGTCTCGGGAGTGCAGTTTGTCCTAGGGGCTATAAATACCCCATTGAGGTCGATTTTTGAAGGGCTGATCATTTTGAGCACTTTGAAGCAGAGAGAGAGCAGAGTTCCTGAGCTTCTGGCCATTCCTTGAGATTCGAGCTTTGACTTGATCTTAAGAAGAACGACTATCTTACTTTGATAAGATATCGTTTCAAATTCTCACTTCGATACACGAAGGAAGAATCATTAAACCCCTCACGATTCAATCAGAATCTGTGATTTGGTGGTCCACGAGTCAAAGAGCTCCCGGCACAGGCAAAGATCCCACGCAAGCAGCGATCCAAACAACGATCCTGCGTTTGTTTCTAAAAAGTTGTAATTTTTATCTTGTTGTATAAAAGAAGTCTTATAAAAAGGCTATCTCTTTTGAATTTATTGTAATCGACCGAAGATATAATGAATTTCACAGCAAAACCAACTTTTGACGAAAACAACATTATCTATGCAAGCATATATTATGAATATGGATTTTGTGCATTCACTAATATCCAAGTTAAAAGCATCAATTAACAATTAAATATTCTCTAAACGATTTCACCACTTGTTCACATGCCGTTAAACCTAAGATGAAACAATTCGTTAATAAGTGGTCCTAGTCCCATAGACAAAAACAACATACAAACGAAGGGTTTTAATATCTGCAATTTTGTGGGGTTTAATATTTTCGGAGAAACTCTAAAATCAAGGAAAGTCCATGATAGCAGAACAATGAAATATGAGAAGCTAGGCATTAAATTCTCCACTTTTAAAAATAAACTTCTGTCCAAAAACAAAAATAGGAAAATAAAAATCATTGTATAGCCATACATAAGGTAACTACATGAAAAGGAAAATAGTCAATGTTCTAAAATTAAGAAAGCAAACTAGCAGAGTGAAGGGTCTTACAAACCTATCCACAGAGCAAACTAGAAATGATGCACACAATGGTAAAATTAAAAATAAGAACCATACAATTTACCTTCTAATAACTACGGCTAGATTTGCATTTGCTCAATCTGTTTCAAGTGAACCACATGAAGATGCTTTATATATTTTGTATAACAGATTAAAAATGTGGTACGATCAAAATAAAGATAAACAAATTTCAAGAAAGTAAACTTTGCAAAGCACACGGACCCGGATAATTTAATTTACAATGGATTGCAACCGACAAATATCATTCATAAAATGCAAGACTAATTCACAATGACAAAATTTAGCTTAACATAAACTCTTGACATCACATCACATAATTGTAATTCAATGTAAAAAAAAAGATCCTCAAGTAGAGTACCATGTCAATTATGAACAACCATGCAGATACATAAATAGAAGGCTATGGTATCACTTTTTGGAGAAGATAAGATGTAAAACATAATCTCCTAGCTTATTCTGCACATGAAATCCTTCCTATAATCAAAATATTAAAGCACATCAAAATTAGTCTAATTTCATAATCACCAAAATCTAACACCGACTACCAAGTACCTCTTAGAAATTAAATGATAACAACTGGCCAATTAAAAATTAGCAACTCGATCTAGACATTAGCTTAAAATTAACACAGTTATGCATTGCCTTAAATTTTAAATACCAGTATCTTGAGACCTGGATCTGTTTTGTCCATAACTTATTCATGAGCCACTCTCACAGATATGTAGATACAATAATAATCCACAAGATGCATACATCTCATCAACCATGACCAGTAACAAATAGCAGGAAATGATAGACCATGATTTTTTTTAATTAACAAAGAACACAAGAAAACTCAAGCTAGCTCTACACAATCCTATTCTAACAATGTATTTAGAAAAGCTAAGGCTGAAGTTTCCATTTACCTTTTGCCCAATACTTCTTATATCAACTAATTATTGATATTAATCTTCAAACAAACAATATATTTTACTGATTTAAGTAAGTTGAAAGGTCAATGTACCAAACCTAATTGAGGGGGACTCGGCGATGAACTGTAGGCTCAACGGCGACAGCGAACTTCAGGGCTCGACGGTGACGGGGAACTTCAGGGCTTGATAGTGGCGGCGAACTTCGACGGCAGCGGCGAGTTCATAGTTGGTTTTCTTGACCAGGACAGGTACTCATCGGAGAATTGCAGGCTCGACGGTGGCGGCAAACTTCACGAGCTCAACGGCGACGGAGAACTTCACGCGCTCGACGGCGGTGGGGAACTTCAAGGCTCGACGGCGGCGGCAAACTCCGACGCAACCTGCGAGTTCAAAGAAGACGCAGCGGGGTTTGGGGCCGATTTTCTGATGAGAGAGAACGGGTTTTATATATATATATATATATATATATATGATATATATATATATATATATATATATAATAGTATCATATATATATTACTAGTTTTTGCACAACGTGTAATGCACGTGGTGCATTAATTAATACAAAAATGAATTCAAGTCATTGCTTCGCCAGTTTGTTTGATCAAATTGTATTAACTGAAGTGTTTGTAAACTGCTTACGCATCCTATATCTATTCATTTACGTTAATAAATCGAATCCTTTAGGTATGTTTAAAGGATAGCACTCAATTTAAAACTTTTCATGTTATATCACGCTTGTACCAATGTTGTAATGTCACGGAAAAAACAAAATGATACATTAATAAAAATAACTTTGAATTTTCATATTCATTTGAAGAGTCCTTTGATTCCCGAAATGCAAAACTAAGCTTTCATTGAGAAAGAAGTTATATTCGAAGCCACTTGGCCTCAATAGGCTGAAAAATGATAAAGAGCAACAAGTGTGTGATATACAAGCGGACTTGGAGGGCTTACATGATTATAAACCAAGTATCGACTGTCCAAAATGACCTTTGATTTAAAAGTCATGTCCTAGGACAACGGCATGGCCAAAAGGAGCAATATGAAGTTTTATTCCTAATCATTGATAGACTTTATAAAGACTCAATATTAAATTAAAGATTGAACTGGGCCCTAACTCCTGAGCATGACTATACTTATTAAGTACCTACATGGATTAAAAACATCCACCATGAAGGAAGTATAAAAGCTAGATTTAAAAACACAGAGACTTCACTGAAAGCTGCGCCTTCCTATAGGCATTCCCTAACGACCTTCCACGCCTCCCCACAAATACATATACATGACTATATTCCTATGAAAATATTCCTAGGAAATGATCTAGTTGTTCTATTTGCTTCCTGTACTTTGATTTGTTATGATGTTTAAAAAGATCACATCACAATTCTTCTAGTTTATTCATTTTATTCCACTGATTATTTTCAGGCTCACCGGCACACATTTCTATACTACTCCTACATTATGAATTAGGATTGCATGAGAGTACTTGTTTCTTCATCATCCTTACAAAAATCCCAATTTTTATTGACTTGGTAACATTAAAATGCTTAAGATTGCCGCGAAATACCAATATAAGATTCAAGTAATAGAGCTTCTAATAGGATTGGAGAGCTCAAAACATTTTCATATCGATAATTAATTGCATATATTTTTTGTTCTTATCAAAGGTCTCCATGGTTTAACCGAACGGTACGATTTTTTCATCAGAGTCTCATTAACTTTTGAAAAACCCAAAGCAAGGTCCCAAAAAAGACTACGTACTTATGAAGCATGTTACAAACACAAGATCTTTGACTATTTCCCAAATTCAAAGTAGTCTGTTTGGTAGACTCTTGCACATTTTTATCTTTTCCTATTTCAGTAGCAGTCAATAGTAACATGTATTAGATTCTCAAGCTGTATATATAAAATCGTTGCTGTTTCTACATCATATCTTATTACCTTAATGTAATCTCTTATTCTCATAATTATAAGGGAAATAAGATCTTCCTCATAAGTCTGCCTATCTCTTATTCCTCAAAAATGAATTGCTTCTGATGTGCCATCGCCGAATAGATAACTTCTCATGTCCTTATATTCGCTGACGTAGAACATACAAGTCATTACTCCTTATGCCGTCTATCCCTGTTATTTTCCATAAAGATCTAAACTAAATACCTGTATTATTCATTACCAATTTCTCTTAGATTATAATATTAATATTTAATTTGAAGAACACAGTATGGAATTTATGAATACTTACTAATTTTTCTTATGTCCTTCATGGAGATTTTTTCTTTGATTAGGATAAAGTTATTAAATTATTTTTTAATGTAACTAATTCAGTGCTTCATTAATAGATATGTCTTATGTTAATGTCAATTTAAGTGATTCATTGACGTTTTCTGAATTTTAGATTTATTTCCATTACTTTCCCATTTGTAATGGAAATAACTCAATTCTTTTAAAGTTATCTCTAAATATTCTAATAGTTTCTCCCTTCATTAATAGATATGTCTTATGTTAATGTCAATTTAAGTGATTCATTGACGTTTTCTGAATTTTAGATTTATTTCCATTACTTTCCCATTTGTAATGGAAATAACTCAATTCTTTTAAAGTTATCTCTAAATATTCTAATAGTTTCTCCATATGTAATTCCTTGTATTCTTTTACCCTATAAATATTATTAACGTCAAAGATTAAAGTTTCTAAATTAAAATCAATTAATGCTAAGGTATAATATTATAGTGTTTTATCATTTCTATGGATTTAAACATCTATCAATTAATGTTACGAATGTATTTTGGCTACCCCAACTTATTACTAAAATTATATGAAATTACTTTAATTTATATAGTGCCGATAATTTTTAATCTATAATATTTTTAAAAAAATTATCCATTAACCGGATGTTTTTAATCAATTCTTATTGTTTTTGTTTACCAGTATCAACTTAGACTATTCTTAGATGCTGAAAATGGATAGTAAATCCCTAAATTAGAAATTTTAATATATATATATATATATATATTCTTTGTTTATTCTGGGTTAATTGTCGACATGGACATCTAAGGTGCAGATGTCATGAAAAAGCTTAGGGATAATAAGTGGTCAACTTCGTAATGGTACAGCAGGTTATCTGCAGTTAACCTTTTTCTTTTTATTGATATCCACCAAAACAATAATTTTGATAGAGGGAAAATCTAGGTGTATTTTTTGTTCTTTTGAAATTTTGCACATTAAAATTACATACAGTATGGTAACTGAAGATAGTATATTTAAAAGACTTGCCTGGAAGTGGGTCTGTATCCATTTCATCATTATCACTCTCAGCTTCAACCATCTGACTGCTAGAGGCATCTTGTTTACTATCTAGAAGTTCTTGTAAATCCCACAGCTAGTTGAGAAACAAATACATAAATTCAATCAAATGATGGATCAAATGAAATTTGATAGCAACAAAGGGGAACTGAAGAGAACAAACTACAACAAAAAGGTGAAGTTTTCTATAGCTCAACCATTTTATGTAGCTCTCACAAAACACGGGAAAAAAAAGAACTCTAAAGTTTGTCAAAGAAAAACTTTCTTTAGCAGTCTTTATGTAGCTAGTATGCAACTGCTTAAATAGGAGTTTGCATCATAATTGAATTAAATTGCAAAACTTTCCCTTCTTCATATGATATTGAGACGCTGGTTTCAAAGGGGGCAAAAACACTATCCATCTAAGTTACGCGGATACGGGTACATATGCAGGTACATGACATGACAAATTTGTAAAAAGGAGGATACATGCACAAACACGTGAAAATAATAAGTATCTTTGTCATATGAGGAGATTCTCTCATATACAATATAAATGTGGCTCAATCTCAACCAAGTGAAGAGAGTACGTGAGAGAAATCCTTATATACACACTTGGTTGAGATTGAGCAACATCACTGTATTATCCCCTCATATGACATATGAATCATGATACCCATTAACCTCTTCCCATATATATATATATATATATATATATATATAGAGTAAAACTTGTGTCAACTTAAGTGGACATCCACTAAGTTTCTTAGTCATTGATGATCACTTGATTGAGCTACATTGTGGATGATCCGCTCCGTTGAACTTGATCTATATATTCTAAAACCCCAACACACCAATTTTGGGGTGAATCCGTCGTGGTTTGACATTTCATCCACTCGTATTAATTTTAACGGTTTTGAATGAATAAAACTTTTTACATGGCTCGACAGAGGGTCAAACCACGACGGATTCACCCCAAATTTGGTGTGTTGGGGTTTTAGAATATGTAGATCAATTTCAACGGAGCGGATCATCCACGATGTAGCTCAATCAAGTGATCATTAATGACTAAGAAACTTAGTGGACGTCCACTTAAGTTGACACAAGTTTTACTCTATATATATATAGAGAGAGAGAGAGGGGGGGGGTTTTCGGGTTTTTTTTCTTCTTTTCGTGAAAATAAATTAGGAGAAATTTTCCTCCCTCGCGTGAGTAGTGTAAATCAACTTGCCCCAACGGTTTAAACCGTCGGGGCTGGTGAAATCAGCCCTAACTGATTGAAACCGTCGGGGCTGGTGAAATCAGCCCTAACTGTTCTATCCACCCGTTGGGCTGGGTCTCCTTTTACTAGTGTTTACTATGGAAATCTTCCCACAAAATTAATGCACATGATATACAGATAGTCTAAAGATGAAACTATTAATTACTATCTTATGTAATATGTTGAAACATATATTTTACTAGTAATGCGCTGTTCATGAAAGAATCAACATATTACAAGAATCAACATATTACTAGTAATGCGCTGTCCCATCTCCCATCCTTCGAAAGACGAGGACGCAATCAAGTAAAATATTTATTAATAAATAAATAAAGATTCTGCAGTTTCAACTTTAAAGAAAAAGATCAACACGAAGAAAAAATGATTGTAATTTTAGAGAATTTTACTTATGTTGATTGATTTATATTCAAAAATGTTGAGGGATTGAAAACTTTTTTGTTAGATTACGATAGCATGTTTTGCAAATAATCTGTTGACGAATTAAACATTTTAATATCCTAAATTACCTAAATGTTGACCTATAGTATATAATTTGGTATTTATATTATTCATTATATATATGAAAAATATTAACTAATGGGAGTTAATTTTTTATATTTTAAAAAATTTTCATTATAGTACATAGTTTGGTATTAATTTAGATTATTCATTATATATGAAAAATAT